TACCAACGAACATTGTCATGACGCTTTTGTCTATGGATAATCAACCTTACAGGGAGCCACCCTCTTGCCCACCAGTTATAGTTTTCGCGTGCACTCAAATAATTATTCTAACATATTAGTTTAAAAACCAGGTAGTACATGATTGCTAAAATCTCTCAGGGCTGAAGAAATCCTAATTACAACGCGCTTACAGCCTTAGCCTGCCCAGATCCTCAGCTTGGCCAAACATCGGGTTTGTTCCTTGAGCCATAAAAAGTGTTTGGGAACCAATCAAAGCCGAACGAGAAAAATGGTCGACCGAAACGCCCCCCGCAACGAATAAATTAAGGAGACATTGAAAACTATGTCATGCATCCTTTCGCACTTGGCGCTTGTGGCAACAGTTTCATCCCAATTTAACCGACTTTGTGTAGTATTGCTTTACAGAATCAGGCAATCGTTAAATTTTTCCTCAAGGAAAGGGGTAGACAGAGCTCGATAAGATAATGTCGGTCGTGTCCAACTGTGATACTGAAGAGGCTGTGAAAGGATGGGCAAAAATATCTTCAGGAAGCATAATGTCATCCTTAGGCGGCATCAGCATGGGTTTACCGGTTTAAGAGGGGCTAACGTAGTTGGGCAGTAAATATTACCTAACTTTGCGACCAAACCTACGAAAATTTTTACTTTTCAGAAACGATGGTCTAAACTTTTCAAGCAAATCGGCCATCTGAAATTCACGAGGAATGCGATTACATCCATACTTCCCCACGCCACCGGTAGGTTGCAAGGTGGCTGTAATTAGGCCTACATTATTCAAGGAGTGCAAACATTAGCACTACAGTGAAGCAAATGAAATACCAACAACTTTTTTCACACAGACGTAGTTGCAAATTGCTGCCCGATGGTACGGCTGCTTGCCACAGATGTCCAAAACAAGAAGGCTTTTCACCTTCGTCTTGACATTTAGTTTAAAAAAATTAGAATACCTAGTACAAATATTTAGGACGTAAAATTCGGAATAAATAAGACTGGGCTCCGTAACTTAGGATAGGATTCAGTAAAGGCCTTGATGCCCACATACTCTTACTGAGCAAGCTCTTATTTTACCCATATGGCACAAGCAACATTTTTGTTTGGCACTGTCCCTTCATCCAGCTGTGTAAGACAAAGCGGATGAAAAAACGTCGTCTCTCGCCCTACGAAATACCAAGGGCACGTGAACGGGCAAACCATTCAGAATTCTTAACAGCCCGCACGACGGAATTTAGATTTTTGTCACCATATGCCATTCTGGTACAGTGGGTGAGCCAGAGCCGCTAGCTTTCCAAACGACACTGTTGAAATATTTTTATCTGGTGGACATGACTGAAACCTGACCCGGATGCTACCCACTTGAAAGTTATCGGAGGTTGTGTTATCAGATTAACATACCCTTCCCGCCAACCGATTTAATCTTCGTTTCATTCTCGGGCTTTTCCGGTAATTTAGGATGAGCTGTCTTCACCCGAGTTACGAGGTAAGAGATATTCTACGGTAACAAAAGCCTTCTTCTCACGGCTTCACGAGCGTCTTCTTCGGGGTTGCGGAAGGGGTCAGGAACAAATCATTTCTGAAACTCTCTTCACCCAATAAACCTAAATGTCATACTGCGTTATCTCATTAATAATCAAATATCACACCACTCGGACGGATGTGACACGCACGGGCTACAGACCAAAAAAGGGTATATCCTGATAGATCAGAATGTTACCGAATCGAAATGGAGCATTTATAACTGGGTATTTCGCATGTTTCATGAGAAGTAAACTGTGAGCCAATTGTGATGCCCATTTAAACACATTTTCACTAATTTTCCTTCGTCTCTTGAAGGGCTGTCTGAAGCTACTGGCCGCTGAGTTCCATCGGAATAGGTGGTACAGGAAGCCATTGGCTGATAGTGAAGTCACACCACAGTCAACAAGACAACACGAATGTCGATTCCTTTCCTCCAGTCGAAGCCATTGGCTGATAGTGAAGTCACACCACAAGTCAACAAGCAACACGAATGTCGATTCCTTTCCTCCAGTCCCAATGTACACAGCATGATTTCCTGGTTTGGTTATTTCGGTTTTGGATCCATAACATTTTTTGACTTAAATTAAACAGTGATCCCCCCTTGCCATTGCACATTTTGCTTAAATCAACACTTGAGATTTGATATCTCGTGATCACGCAACTTCTTGTCGGTTTGCACTTTGAGGTCCCGTTAGGAACTAGCAGGCTATACAAACCGATTTGAGGCTTGTACATTATTATTTTTTACTATTGTATCCATAGTACCGCGGTTGCTGGTAGACCTCCACAGGAGGGGTTTGACTTTTGCAGTTCTGTAGCTCATCGTGGCCCAACTAACTTCTGAGAACAATTAATAACGTGTTTACTAAGGTTCTTGTCCGACATCACTTTGATAACAGGAGACAGTTTGCCGAAGGCCCATATTTTTTATTTCTCCAGCTGCTTCAAATTCTACCTCATAAAACTGTCCATTAATTTCTGAGAATATACGGAGATCTTAGTCCACCATTTCGCTGACATTATGAATCCTAATAATGTTTATTCCCAACTTGTGGCTGGCATACTATCTGGCATGATCATGCATTTACAATCAGAATGTGGCATGACTGGATGATTTGCGGGTAGCGGGGATTCCGCGAAAACAGGACGATATCATAAATAGTGGGAGGTATTCAATGAAATAGTAATGTTTCTTTCGCAACTTGTAGGGAACAATGGGCATGAGGTCCGACTAACTCAAAGACTCAGTCGGCTGACATGAACTAAAACTGAAAATCATTGCTGGCCATGAGTGACCTTGGACGGTTGGGTGAATGGCCGGAGTCACAACGAACAAAAGTGAAGGTGGAGATGGGATAAATTGAATTGGGAGAACAGGGCAAGTTTAGTCTCGAAAATATGGTGCAATCTGAGAACAAGCAGACTCGCTGGTTGCACTGTTGTAGGAAAGTCGGGTGCAGGGGTTAGGTTGGATGGGGAAACAGGTAGTTGAATTCGAACGAGTAGTCCATTAGGTTGGAATGAATGTTATAGAGGTAGTTGGGGTCGGCTGGGGAATTTGTCGTATTTGCAGTCAATGGAACGTGTAGGCAAGAGAGCTCGGTTGGGAGGAGGAATGGAACAGTTGCGGGTGTGCTATCAAATTGAGTATGGCAGTGCGGTGCCATCATTTGCCTGACATGCTGCAGTTTTTAGACAGCCCGTGACGGACGTCACATTTGAGGTGATTCGGCTGGGGTATGCAGTTAACTGAGCAGCGGCATTCATTTTAGCCTGGTCGAGGAAACAAGTTGGAACGAAGCCGATATGGGATTGTAAGTTTTCTTGGTCCGCTTGGTGATCCCGGAGTTGTAGATCATAGACCAGGTGCAGTGGATATCAGCTAACTAGGTCTTCCAAAACGGGCACTTCTGAAGTTCAAAGCTTGGGGAGATGAGGGGATGGAAGGAGATTCGCAAAACATTGTTTTCAACCCGCTGTTGTGAGCACATTTTTACAAGTAACTAACAGGACAACTTGCACTGCAATTGGTGGCGTCTAAGAACCAGTACAGAGATAAACATGGTCCTTGGATTATACTAAATATTATTGTAATTTATTTTGCGAGACCGCAAGGCCTTTGCGGATCCTGAGGTCCCCCAGTAAGTTCCCGCGGTTTCTCCTAGCCAACCTTCTGGGAACTTCGCGCATATCATTTGGAAACCAATCGTCATCCACCTACAGATTGCTTTTTGAACATTTCGTGGCGTCCATCCAGAATGTCAGCCAACACAAGGATCGAGAAGGGCGGACAAACTCCGATCATCAGCCATCAGTCTGGATGGTTCACGCTTCTAGGGGAACAGTCAAATGGTTTGGTGTATTAGGCTCATCCTCGTCAATATGCTTTACCAGAATACGGCAGTTTTTTGCTGAAATGCAGTGAAACTGTGCTGTGAAGTCCTCAGCGCAAAGCTTCAATGTCGCGTCCTACATATGTACCTATTAGTAGCCTTCTAGAATAGAGTTTTTGAGCCTGAGGTATTGTGAGCTCCAGTCTGTCCCACTTTTCCCACTTCTTCGCACCGATCACCTAACACGGGCTTTTCTCTTCGTTATGTATATATTTATACGACCGAAAGTTTTTCGTTACAGATACACGTGGAAACTTATCCCTCCAGGTGGTCCGCAACAGAAATCTATACATACATCGTGCCGATCCTGGCCTAATTTGACCACGCTCATTCGATCAACACTTCCAAAAACGATGTTTACGTCATCCTCTCTCAAATGCACCTTTACTCCCCCAGTAACCTCGAGCACAACTAATCACTAGACCAAATTGATCTAGTCCCGGTCACATCCATATTAATACCAACAGGTATTATGTATGATAGTTATGCATATCGATCATGCCACAGAACTGATTATCACGGTTACGGACACCGGTCAGTATTAATCACCTGGTCACGAAGGCAAACACTGATACTAGGTTGCCCATCAGCTTCGGCACCTCATGTCCGTAGTTCAGCGCGAATACTGTTCTGGATCAAGTCTGCACTCCTTCGACTTCCGACTTGAGGACGTGCTTAGGGGACATATGGACAACCAAAGTTCGCTCTAGTTATTCTGAACTCAGGCCTCGTGATTATTGTTGAATTTTGTGGGCTGTTGTGTATAAGCTGTGTTTGACTCCTTACAATTTGCTCAAAACCTTTCGCCATTCAAATCGCATTAGGTCTAGTGACGCTCGCTCTTTTGCTGAGCATCCGTTCAGAGGTGAAAGTGACAGAGATGCCATATACTGTATTTTAGGATAGTAATAACCATTAACGGTGAGTACTCTGTGGTTGAAAGCAAGCCTGAACTGTCCCTCCTAAAGACGTTCTGGATTACCGCAGCCCCGAAGTCAAAAGTTGAGCTTGTTTGAAATCCCTAAATTTTCAAGGTCACTGGTGCAAGATAAACGAGGCAAATCAATGGCGGACGAATGTGAAGAACAGTGAATTATTGATAATGGGCGAACGAAAAAGCGCGCCGAATAGTAAGTCATAAGGCCTTTCAAGTGTCAAAGTCCTTTTCTAATGCAGAATGTATCCGTAGCGAATATTCCCAATTATGGACTAAATTAACATTTAAAATGTTAATTGTCTCTCATTTTCCTCGCTTCATAGCGTCTATTTTATTTATTAAGTACTTAATTGACATGAAGGTTGAACATTTTGCACCATGCGAGGTGTATCGGTGTATTATACGCATGGAATTGGCGATAACTGAGTAGAAATCACGTGATTTTCCCTCCATAGTTACCCTTGTCGAAAGTCGTATAAGTTCCACTGGGATAGCCATTTGAAGGGCTTGAAGATTGCATACACAGAAACGGACAGATATCTGGGTGTGCTGATGCACGACCAATAGGATATGGTGTCATACATGGGTTGTGGGCTGATGCTATTACCACAACCTCGTAGACTGTGTAAGTCACCGGGAATCATATTTTAAAAAACATTACACCTTACAACGAGGGGGAGGGCGACTGGAACAGACACTTAAAAACGCTGTTGCAGTGCATATAAACCAAATGAAGGTTCTATTTATCACATGGCTTGTGGTAATAGTGATAGATTGGGTTGTGTGTCAAGGTTTCGAAGGGTTGCAAGAAGATGTGCCAGAAAATTCCTTCACAGGACCTTATGTGTGGGAAAATTGGAGCATGAATATCAGAGATCTATGAGTCTTATAAACGCCGTTCCCTAACTTGACGCAAAAGTGTGACCTGGAATTTGTTAGCGGTTTAGGTGACCATTCACCTCTAAGCAGCTCTTCCACGACACGAGGGTTGTATTGTATTTTTCAATTGGGTATCCTCACTTCGCTATTCAGCTGTTAAGACGTTCTTTTATTAAACAAGGTCAAAAATCAAGAGCCTCTTCTGATCCGTAAAAAGTGAACCTTTCCAATTACTCTCACCACTTAGCAACGGGTGGGAGTGGCAACTATTTTGGGTTAGGAAGACAAAACCCCGGAACGCTTTTTATATACCACTTCATCACAGGTATGAAAGTAAAGATAATTCTAGTGTGAGATTCTTATCTGGTTCCTTCCTTCTTGGAATCGATCAGGGTTGAATTTTGCGGCTAATATGAGATGGGCTCGAACTAAGTGTCTTTTGTGGAACTTCAAGCGCTTACTCGTGATAGTCACGGGTGAAAAATGCGATTAATTTTTTTGCACTCTTCACGCATATAGGGATTAGAGCCTTAAAGCTTTCAACTTTTATGTCATAATCAACTTAAGACATTAGCTTTTATGTGACCAAAAGAGGTTAGGTATAAAAAGATGTAGGTTGCCATTGGTTTAGCGGATTGGCTTACGTGGTTGTACAACAGACAGCAGAATGCTTAGTCCTTTAAATCGACAAACGTTGTGGTGCAAATGGAGGCTGCAATGTCACTTATTGGGATTTTATATATTAAAATAAGAAGGGAGACATTTCATAACGTTGTAAACATTCCAGTTTTCTTTAATGTTATGCTCTTGGGAGGGCATTAAATTAGTGACAGAAAAGCTGCTCTTATCAACTAAAAGAGTGCGCCACAAAGGGTTATCGTGTTGCAAAAATAGAATTGTAGAAGAGTGTTCTTTTTTGGCATCATTAGGTTAGATGAGAACATCTGTTTATCTAAGGTGCACAACATAATACGTGTACAATTGTGCATTTCTTTTTCGATAATGTCGTCGGTTGGGCATGTGGATGTCGCGAAACGTGTCCAACGAAGCATGGCTTGTGGTAATAGTGATAGATTGGGTTGTGTGTCAAGGTTTCGAAGGGTTGCAAGAAGATGTGCCAGAAAATTCCTTCACAGGACCTTATGTGTGGGAAAATTGGAGCATGAATATCAGAGATCTATGAGTCTTATAAACGCCGTTCCCTAACTTGACGCAAAAGTGTGACCTGGAATTTGTTAGCGGTTTAGGTGACCATTCACCTCTAAGCAGCTCTTCCACGACACGAGGGTTGTATTGTATTTTTCAATTGGGTATCCTCACTTCGCTATTCAGCTGTTAAGACGTTCTTTTATTAAACAAGGTCAAAAATCAAGAGCCTCTTCTGATCCGTAAAAAGTGAACCTTTCCAATTACTCTCACCACTTAGCAACGGGTGGGAGTGGCAACTATTTTGGGTTAGGAAGACAAAACCCCGGAACGCTTTTTATATACCACTTCATCACAGGTATGAAAGTAAAGATAATTCTAGTGTGAGATTCTTATCTGGTTCCTTCCTTCTTGGAATCGATCAGGGTTGAATTTTGCGGCTAATATGAGATGGGCTCGAACTAAGTGTCTTTTGTGGAACTTCAAGCGCTTACTCGTGATAGTCACGGGTGAAAAATGCGATTAATTTTTTTGCACTCTTCACGCATATAGGGATTAGAGCCTTAAAGCTTTCAACTTTTATGTCATAATCAACTTAAGACATTAGCTTTTATGTGACCAAAAGAGGTTAGGTATAAAAAGATGTAGGTTGCCATTGGTTTAGCGGATTGGCTTACGTGGTTGTACAACAGACAGCAGAATGCTTAGTCCTTTAAATCGACAAACGTTGTGGTGCAAATGGAGGCTGCAATGTCACTTATTGGGATTTTATATATTAAAATAAGAAGGGAGACATTTCATAACGTTGTAAACATTCCAGTTTTCTTTAATGTTATGCTCTTGGGAGGGCATTAAATTAGTGACAGAAAAGCTGCTCTTATCAACTAAAAGAGTGCGCCACAAAGGGTTATCGTGTTGCAAAAATAGAATTGTAGAAGAGTGTTCTTTTTTGGCATCATTAGGTTAGATGAGAACATCTGTTTATCTAAGGTGCACAACATAATACGTGTACAATTGTGCATTTCTTTTTCGATAATGTCGTCGGTTGGGCATGTGGATGTCGCGAAACGTGTCCAACGAAGCCTTGTTAAGGTTTATCATAGTTGTACAGTAAGGCTGTTGTGGTGCTAATGCAGTCTTTGAGGCAGAGTAACAGTTTAGGCAACCGTTAAGCCAATGAACGTTACAGTTAACAAAAGAATGCGACTCAACGTATTGATTCTGACTGTAACGATTTAGTAAATAGGGAAAAAGGGAAATTAAGAAATGACAACAAAGCTTTAAGTACAACGGTCTGTTCGGTTTGCTGACGTCAAATTGCCGCTTTTTTAATAAGGCAACGGGTAATGGTTACTCGGTAGAGGCATAGTTTTTTCCAAGACTACCATTAGCTATGTGACTCAAGCATATATTCCAGCGTCACTAATCACTCGATTTTCTCGTCTTGTGCCGTCAATTCTGGCAGGCAGTAGTTTCCAACGCAACTCAGCCTACTTGTAATGGCTTGTGTACTTCATTGCCAGGTATAAGCCTGACCACCACTGTACCGTCTCCATTCGACACAAGACTGAAAAATGTGCGCCCTACGAGATGACCAATCCGTGGCACAGTACATGGCTTACACAACGTAGCTTGTTTGGTTCGATTAGCCTATCTAGTGATAGGGGGTGAAGATCTTTGAAAATCCCCTGGAGCTTTAACCGGACACGCGCAACGCTTCGAAGTTATCAATTTTTAGAGGTGAAAAGCCTTCAAAAGTCTCCTGCATCTGCGATCATCTCCGATCTGTGAAGTTGGATAGGTTTGACAACGGCATTATGCACCCTGATTTCGACGTGCAAGCGGATGTCAAGTCGTTGTCACAAAGATGCAAAGCCATCAGACGTCGCTCTCACCATCGGAATTCTAGAAGTTATTTAACTCTTCACCACGCAGCATTAGCCCATACAACTGACCAAATACATAAGCGCATCTGCCACATCAACCAGTTTACATGAAGACAAATATTTGGTCTGTCCTTACCCAGTCTTATAGCTACAGGTTAACAGATGAGTGACAAGAATGTTTAGTTTGACCGACTTCGTCAAGAATAAAATCATCTAGGTGGCTGGTTTGGCGTTGACAACCAACGTGTGGATCACGGTTGGCGACTTCCTTACTTATGCACTAAACATAGTTTGTTTGCAGCCAGTAAATACTTTTAAAGCAAGTTCTCAGAGGGTGACTTAGAGAGAACAAACCATGCAAAAATAGGGACACATTTATTTAATGTAGAAGCAGCCACCAAATTTGGGTTTGACACAAAATAGAATGTTTTTAGACTAAATTACTCGACTTTGATTATGACATTCTTCATCTACATGTATTCATTTGCTCTTATTCCGAAACATGCCGATTAACACACAAGCGTTTTACCAGAAAAGAGTTTCTATGGCTCAATACTATAATGTCGTCTTGAGAGTTTCCAAAGCGCAAAGGCAGATTGAAAGGAAAGGTGAAAATAACCATGTTTTCCACTTTCAACCCGTTTGCCAGAGGTACTTGATGCACCTCAATGAGCGTTTGATCTCACTGCTACAAACACCCCCAATTCAAACCACAAAATATTACCAAAAATGAACGACTATATGGTTGTTCATGGGGCTATCGAGAGCCAAATAATGAAGAACTGAAAATTGAGGGTGTTAAGGTGACTGGGTAAAAATATTAGCCAGTTTACAACAGCAAGAGTACTTCCTGTATTTATTGGTCTCTAGCTGTTTTTGAGGAACAAATTATTTTTTCCAGCGACTATTCTAAAAAACGTTCAGGTAATAAGAAAAACATCATTACTTCAACAGCAGCTGCTACTACCAATCACTGCTGAGATGTTTTTCATTTTGATATCATGGCTTATCTAAAAAAGTTTGGCTTTCTTCTATTTTTCTACTACAAACACTTGAAATTTCTTCAACCCAGTCTTAACTAAAACTGCAGTGTTTTTGGGGAGGTAGGTGGTCGTAGACTTGGTCAAAATATGAGCCAAACTAGGGAATCACCAGAAGACAGCGTTGAGTGCAGGCAAGCGGGATAGAATGCCCATGCGTACAGAACTACACGTAAATTAGGCGTATGTATACGATTAATTATGTCTTATGCAGTCATTATAATCAAAGACGGTAATTTCAT